GATATGAAGAGTATAAAAAGAAAAGGGATCACAAAAAGGTTTTTATTAGGGTGCTTGACGAGATTGCAGGTCTCGCTCTTACGTATCCTCGGGTACAATGAGGAACTCAAAGCTTCGTAGTTCAGGGGAAGACTATAGTTTTTTTATTTTTTTTATTGAACAAGTGTTTGGATCGCACTCTAACAGTTAAACATTGGCTTGTTTGCTCGTGGTGGAAACTTAAGCACTAGTTTATATTCGCATTAGAATGGACTAAACAATGTTCTTTTGAATTTTTTTTTGTATTTGATCGCACGAGGGCGAGAAATTAGGTTTGAGGTGTTTGGTATTTTGGGAGAACGATGAAAATTCGAGCAATGTGGCGCGTGCTAATTGTTCAATTATTCGAGTAGTAGTGAGGCGGGCGCCTCCCATTTCTTTTTTTTTCCATTCAATTTAATATTTTGAAAATTGTTTGCGGAGATCGAATATTTGTCGTAGTGAGGCGAGCGCCTCCCACTTGCTTATTCGAGAAATAATGAGGCGTGTGCCACCTATTCCTTTATCCAAGTTTGATTAGAGTATTTTAATGGAAGACGGAAATTCGAGCAGTATGGCGAGCGTAAACCATTCAATTATCCAATGAGTAGTGAGACGAACGCCTCCCATTCCCTTTTTCATCTGAAGTTTTAATTATAAAAATAAGATTCTTAGAAGTATATTGATTTGAGAAATAATTTAAATTGAATTAAATCGAAACAGGTTGGTTTGAGAAAAAGAATCCACTTGGCGTTGAACCAATGGTTTTACTTATTGAAAAATGATTGAGAAATTAGGATATTGGAAATGGTTTTGAATAGGAATGAGATTGAATGAGTTTGGTTTTAAAATGATTGTTAAAATGATATTGTTGTAGCTCGATCAAGTTTTAATTAACAAAATTAATTGATTGAAATTAGAATAAATTGATTAGTTAAGCTAATTAAAATTAATTATCAAAATTATTTAATTAAATCAAATAATCAAGTTAACTAAAATTAATTAATCAAAATTAACTAATTAAACAAAATTTAATTAAAACAAAGAAAGAAATAAGCAACACAATCATGGTAAAATGATTGAAATGAATTAACCACAATGTGCTCAAAGCCGATTTGTACATAACGACAACAAAATCGAAGTATTCGTACGTAAGGACCGAAACGCGACCAAAATATCACATTGATGCATCAAATAAAATCTAACGGCATAAAATTGTCGAATCCGTGGATTAAAATTCCGATTTAATGCAATAGAAACAAAAATAGAATGATAGCAACCAACTACAACAAGTCAGTACAGTAGCCACAATGCAACAAACCATAAATATTCTCATTATCACATAGTTGCAATTGAAACTGAATTGGACAAATACGAAATCAAAATAAACAATAAAGTGGATACTCAATATAACCAAATCAAAACCGAATAGTAACAGTTTTCTGATAACAAATTTAGCATGATATGAAAACAAAGTTTGTCATAATACATAATCGATATAATCACATCTGCAACATGATTAAATTGAAATCGTAGCAACATAAAGAAGACGGTACAACAAGCAAACAATATATATGCAGAAAGAACTTGATATCATTACCGAAATGAAAATTGTTACTGCTAGAGAATGTAATTTGCTACAGATTTAGTTTGTTGGAGTCGGAGCTCGACTAGGAGTGTGTTTTTCTTCCTTCACTATTTGAGATTCTCAAAGGAACAACTTTTGCTACATCAACACCAATATAAAGCGCTTATACCTTGATCTTTAGCTGACAAATCTAGAATAGTTCTCATGGACCTCATGACCTTCAAGGCGGAATGGTGGTGATTTGTGTGAGAAGAAGAGGTAGTCTAGCGCAAGGAGGTTGGGTCATTTGAAAATGAAGAGTGAGAGGACAAGTGATTAAAGAGGGAGGTGAGGATTTTTGGCGCTGTGAGGTTAGGTGATGGTGGTGGTGATTACCTCAATGGAGGAAAGAAGTGACTTGTGGGGGTTTTCTGGTCAGTTTTTAATAGTGGGGATGATAGAGGAAGGGTTTGTTGGAGGTTCTGAGATGGATTCAAATAATTCGCAGAAAAATCCATCAAAAAATGATATCTTAGTCCTCTTTCTACGTGTGTGTGTGTGTGTGTGTGTGTGTGTGTGTGTGTGTGTGTGTGTGTGTGTGTGTGTGTGTGTGTGTGTGTGTGTGTGTGTGTGTGTGTGTGTGTGTGTGTGTGTGTGTGTGTGTGTGTGTGTGTGTGTGTGTGTGTGTGTGTGTGTGTGTGTGTGTGTGTGTGTGTGTGTGTGTGTGTGTGTGTGTGTGTGTGTGTGTGTGTGTGTGTGTGTGTGTGTGTGTGTGTGTGTGTGTGTGTGTGTGTGTGTGTGTGTGTGTGTGTGTGTGTGTGTGTGTGTGTGTGTGTGTGTGTGTGTGTGTGTGTGTGTGTGTGTGTGTGTGTGTGTGTGTGTGTGTGTGTGTGTGTGTGTGTGTGTGTGTGTGTGTGTGTGTGTGTGTGTGTGTGTGTGTGTGTGTGAGATTCTTTTTTTTTCATCACACAAAACCTCCTTTTTCAATGGGACATGTGGCATTATGTAATTGGGAAAGGGAGAGATACCATGGTATTTGCTTCTCATATGTTTTCCTTGCTAGCTAAGAGCATCTTTAATGGGAGCAACTAAATTCGATGAACTAAGTTATTTTACGTGGGTCTAAATTGACATGAAAGATTTAAGCAATTCAAAATTGAATTAAGAAGTTTTTACTTCAATGGTAATTGTTTATAAGAAATTCAAACTTGGTATTAAATGGTTAATAAAAATCTATTATTTATGTTAAATAATTAATAAAAATCTATTATTTATGTTAAATAATGAGTTAGAGTAAGTTGTTTGCGTAGAGCACGTAAACTAGTTTTAGAGCATTCCATATGTCATGTCAGCTATACTATAATGCAAATTCCTTATTAATAACCTAAGCTATACAAAATTTTGGTTTAACAACTATGCGCTAAAGTTGCTCTAAGAGCATTTTTAATCCAGGTTTTTAATAGTCATTAGTGGAAAAAAGGCTTCTTAAGTCGGTTAAAAATGACTTTTTAAGTCGGGTCCGAGCCCGGCCTAAGAATTACCGACATAAGAAGTTTTGACTTCTTAGGTCGGTTAGGCAGAACCCGACTTAATAAGTCTAGCCTGCAGAAATCATTTATACCCGACCTAAGAATTTACTTTCTTAAATCGGGTATAATTAACCGACCTAAGAAGTTGTTTTTTTTTTGGATAATCACACAAATCAGATGCAGTTTTTCCATTTAATAATTTACCCCCAAATCAGACTATCCAACTCAATCAACAAATTACACCCAAATTAAACCCCTAATTATCAAATTAAATATACCAACAACTTATAAACAAAATTACGTATATTAATAATACTAATACACAAACAAACATGTGCATGTTAATTCTAAAGCACCAAGTACGTACTTATCAAAACATCGTCAAAATAAGAAACCTTAAATATTGGCCTGAAAAAATCATATCATCTTCTAAACAGCCAACAATCAACATCCAACACAAAATTGCACCTAATTTACATCAATATCTTCTTAACAGCAATACTATGGACATAACTATGTTCGATACAGCAGTTCTACAACCAGCCATATAGTTCACAAGATTCTGAATAGAAACTAAAACATGATTCATTGAATTAGTCCTCTTTTTTATACCTGTAGCTACATAACAAGATGTTAATGAACCAATAATATTCATTGTTCCTAGTGCCACCATTTCTCTATTACCGTCCAACGAATAATCTTTCATAGCAGCAAATGTTCTTCCAATAGCCACAGCTTCCTATAATTTTTTTTAAGAAAACTGGCTGAAATTTCCTATAAATGTTTATGAAACAAAAGAGATAAGAAAAGTTTCTATAAATTCACGTACCGTGAGAGCTACCATACCAGAAATTAGACCAATCCTAATACCAGCACTAAGATATTTTCCACTGAAAAATATTTCACCGGACGATATTGGATTCACACCATCTTCAATATGTTTCACCTGAAACACCATAGTGCTTTTTAAGTCTTAAACAGTGCTTCATTTTGTTTGAAACTAATTAGATTTTTACTACTTACAATTGCTACTCCTTTCTTGTCTGCCCTTGTAATGTAAACAGAAAAAGTAGAGACAATAACACATATCATAGGAGAAATTGCAGCCACCCAAAAGAGATTCTTTTTCTTCTTAGAACTGGTGATACCACAATATACTAAGAACTGGTGATTTTATGCTTTATTACCTTGAAACTCTCCATTTGAGACGTTCTTCCGGCTTTCTTCACTTTGTTGTTTGCCCAGTTCAATATATCAGCATCCGTAATCTCTTTACCTTGCGAGTGTGATCTTAAGTTTCTCAGAAGTTGAAGCATGGTAAATCTCATAAGCTGCCACATAAATGTTGTTGGACAAACAGAGATGAACATTCTTGTTAGTCACTCCTATGCTATCAAACAAACATATCGGCTTCACCAACAATGCAAATCTACCATAAAGCTGAAAATCATTGAAACTAACCTATTAAGAGCTTCTTATTCTCTTGTACAATATCATTACCAGCAACATTTACTAAGGAAAAGTTAAGGTCCTTCCCAATTTTTATAACTTGGTTGCAATTCTCCAATTTTCGAAATGGCATCTTTATAGGAGGCTTTGTTGCCTCCTTCCAGTTGACAGATCCAGGTGAAACCTTATTAAGAACTTCTAATAGAACCCATCTGTGGAAAAGGAAATAAAGAAAATTATAACCAGAAGTGAACAGAGTGAGGAAAATGTGAATGATAAACCAACTGAATAGTGGAAAGGCTACCCATTTCTGACATCCTCGAAAACATTATTGACGTAAGTAACAATTCCAAGACTGTTAATCCAGAGCCTGAAGCATCTTTCTTCCCGAGATGTCTGTGCATCATCAGTCATCATCTCAGCAAAGGACATTTTTTTTAGTCAATCGTAAGGCCATTCCTACACAAGTGAAAGTACAAGAGATTTTTGAATTTATAAGAATGAAAGTCACATTCTCCAAGCTACAGCTCCATCCTCTAAATATGTGTTCCTAACATGTGAATCAATTGCCCCGTCCTCTTTTTTCCTAAATAGGTTCTTCGAAGCATGCCCCCAAAAAATTGCAACAAAGCGAATAGCACAATTTGCAACATGTTTAAAGTAACCCATACCTATGCCGGAATATTTGAGCAACAAATGCAAGATTAAGGTTAGGAGACCCCTCCACTATGTCCTTTGGAGTGAGGTGTCGCTTGCAATCTAATCTCTCTGCCTGCTCAAGAACCATCTTTGCTCTTTCTGTAGGATCAGTTGTGGTCAAGGCACCTGGGCCTGCAACTTCCGGAGCAAGAGCACTTAGCAAGTAAGCATAAGCCTCTCCATCCTGCAAAAAAGAAAGCATTAAAAATAAAATAGACCCGTGGCAGCTTATAACCATGTCGTATCTGTTTACATCTATCAAACATCTGCTATGTGAGAAAATGTGCCACACAATGATTCAATAATCAGCTATGGTATATGACAATACAGTAAATTTATTCCTAGAAAATTACTAAACGCTGTAACGGACAACAGAACAAAAGGAGGTTCACAGTTTCTTCACTGATCAAGTAGATCATAACAAAAAGGGGTTCATAAGGAGTACTACGATACTATTTCATTAAATTTTATACACGTATACATACCTCTTTAATTTCTTTCTACAGTTTACGCTGCCCTATATTATTATATATTTACATGATACCTTAACTACTTAATTTTATCATTTCTTACAATTTATATTAGAGTAAATAAACATACAATAAGAATTAACATTTCCCTCACCTTTACATCAGAAGAGAAATTTGTAACTTGTTTCTCATATCCAGCTTTCTTCAAGTGATTCATTAATTTATCTTCAGCCAAGTAACTGCTAATATGTGCAACATAAGAAGCCTTCTCAGATTCATTAATTGCATGATGAATAGTCGATGTGGCTGCCCTCAAAAATGAAGAAGAACTTTTTGAACCGCCATCTTTTGCTATAGCTCGAGCTTGCAAATTTAAATGTGCCTACCACACAATGTCAATAAATAAGCTTCTGGGTTCAACATAAATAATACCTATAAAAATACTTGCAAATAAACTGAATATATTTTCCCACTCAGACATTCAAAACAAAAACAAAAGTATACATTCAAGTTAGGTGCATAATGCTAAGACCCTAGAAACAAATTGAGCATCAAACGAGATTCTTGTATGCTCTTGTGGAAATTTGTACTCATCTACTATGAGGAATGCTTACGTAACGCTCACGCCCCCTCTTATTTGTTGGAAAAATTGCATACAACCCTCCCCTTAGTTTGGCTTAAATGAAACACATACACACCCTCTTTTTTTACATGATAGATGGGAGATTCAGGCAATTGAGTGAGATGTCAATGTCTTTTCCTAACTCAAGGGAGTAGATGCATCATTTAAGCATACCTTAGGGAGATGAGTATAATTTATCCATTATCATACTATTTCTTCAGGAAATCAACATACACACATATTCTAAGACAGAAGAATCATATAAAACAATTAAAAAAAAACGAATGGGAACAAAAATCTAAAGCTTTAAGATTTGAAGAACAACAATGCAAGAACGTAAAAAGACTCACCCTAAGGAAGGACTCAAAGTCAATTTCATCATCCATGTTCTGATATGACTCTGCCAATACATCCTTAATTTCATCATCGGTAAAAAGCTCAAAGAAAGCCTTCAATTTATTGAAAACATGTGGCAAATCTCCCACAGTAACACGTCCCGACAGAGTTCTTTGGGATACATACTACAAATATATTCCACATTTCACAATTTCACAATCAGATACATCGAGATTCTTATCAATAATCAAGAAAACAAACAAAGGGTACAATTTAAATAAAATAAATTAAAAAAACTTACTTTTGATTTGAGGGTTCGAAGTTCGACTTGGGTGAATTGGCTCTGAAGCCATTGATCAGAAACAAGGGCACCCACAAAGCTAGACATGATGAATTTTGGTTGAGGAAAATGATCAAACAGTTGGAAGAACACTGACCCAAGAAACAAAATCAAACCTTTAACGCATTACAATCAACGATGCGTGAATAAATAACAAATCCAATAGCAAAATCCGAAAAGAAGAAGACGTACCTTATGGGTTCAGATTGAAAATATCTTTATCACCTACATATTCATCCACAAAGTAAAGTTCATAAATAATGTTTGAAAATATAATCATAAAATAACTCTCGTCAACTGTGATAACCGTCTCCACATAACCATCTTGATCATGATTCATGAAATACTCAAATACCACAGAAACTGATGTATCAAAGAAATACCCTGCTATATCAAAGAAATAGTGTAATATTTGGTCACCTTAACTTAATGCTCAAGAAACTATTATAGTTTTACTAGCATATAAATTGTTCTTCTAACATCTAAGAGTTGTGCACAGAAACAGTAAGTTGTGCTGAATAATTTTTCAAAACAAATGCTTGCATCACAATCCAACCAGACCAACTCAAACAATGACCAAAGAGAAAAATGCCACCCAAGCCCAAAATTTTCCCATTAGCTTCCTCAAATAGAAACAAGAACCGTCTCTGATGTACTGCTAAACGTGATTCTGGAGCATAAATTGTTGGTCCTTTGTAAAGGGTAATGATTGAAGCTCCTCCAACAGAAGCAAGTACTCCAAGAATCTTAGCAATACCATTTATCCTATTTAAGCGCAACCTCTCGTATCTGCAATTTCGCATGCATAATCGAACAAGTTCATGAATATATAATAAAAAAGATCTGAACTTTAAGCTCTAGAGAACAAGGGTTATTAGTTATAACTCGCCTTAGTATCACAGCCATCAGAAATGTAAGAGCAGGAACAGAATTCTGCATAGCAGAAGCAAATGTTGGCGATGTATTGTCCAAACCCACAAGGTAAAATCCTTCTTTCATAGTTATTCTGCAAGAATCAAACAGGTAACGTTTAAAGTTACACAAACATGTTTTGAACAAATATAAAGATGAATGAAATGACTTCATGAAAAGAGAATATACCCTACAAGTCCAAGTAGGAAAAATTGTAACAAACAATAACTAGTTATTAGTGGCCTATCTTTCCTTGCAAGAGGGAAACACATAAAAACAATAACAAAAAAAAGTGAGAAAATTGAATACTATAATCAAAGGTTGGTATAGAGGTAAAGTAGAATACTTTTCAGTGAAATATGCGAGCGGAGCTAGAAGAATGAAAGCAGTGATGTTTCTATAGACAGGAAAAACAAGCTTGCTGACTCCTGTATTGAGTGCAATTCTGAGAAATATATGATTTCCTGCATGACAGAATTGTAAAAAAGTTAAGGTTGTGTGAAGCTTAGCTCGTTCAGACATCATATTCTTTTGGTGTTGTGTTTTTTGCAGGAGTCGCCCCTAGAGTGCCGATAACGAAAAGCCTTCCATTAACATTCAAGCACTCAATATTTTTCTGAAAGCAAGATGTTCCAGTACAATCAAGAATAACATCAACACCTGCCACAAAATCAATGGTAATAATATTACCTCATCAAAAAACAAAGATATCAAGAATCTACACCAAGCTTCATACCTCGACCACCAGTTTCTTCCTTCACACTAGCAGCAAAGTCCTCAATTTTGTAATTGATGCAAACATCGGCTTCAATCTCGCACAATAACATAGCTTCTCTTGATCATCTGCATAGTAATATCTAGAATCAAATTTCTGCAAACATAGCTTGTAATTTCAATCCTGTCAAGGCTTAAAGACATCAAACTGAGTAAATATTCAAAAACATGAAAAGAAATAGTGAACCTGCAACTACAATTACTCTTGATCCACCCAACTTAGCTGCCTTAATTGCAAATGCGTCGATTCCGCCAAAACCTCCATGAATCTGAGAATTCATAAAGTTAACATGAAGATAAAAGATCAATAGCAAGGCAAGAATCAAGAACCATGCTTACCAACAAGGTTTCCCCTCTATATAGTCTGCTGGTGATAAAGATAGAAGACCAGACATTACATGCAGCGAAGGGAAGACTAGCCGCTTCCTTGAGAGAAACCCCGATTGGCTTCCCCTTCCTACGAAAGAAGCCGCTATTACAAGAGAAGCAGAAAAGCTCAAACCGGAGGAGACTCATCACCGCCGTGAGGCTCAAATCATCCTCGAGGATTCATCATCGCCTCACCGCCACCGTTAACGAGTCGCCGCCGACTCCTATTCTTGGGTAAAAGCTTGTTTTCTTCGAATCACTTTTGCAATCTATGTTGAGCTGCAGGTTAACCACCAAAGCGCGAAGCAACAAGGAGAACAGAGAAGCCGCGAAATTCCAGATGAAGACGAGGAGATGAGAAAGAAGGGCATTGGACGGCGTTGGAGGGAAGTTTGATTAGGGTGCAGATGAAGACGAGGAGATCACAGGACAGCGTTGGAGGGAAGTTTGATTAGGGTTTCTAGTTTGTTCAAGTTTGTTCAAGATACCCAATTCGATTCCTGTATGATGCACAAAGAATTTAATTTGTTTTAAGTAAATAAAACTTCTTAGGTCAGGTGGAAGACACCTGACTTAATAAATTGATTTTTTAAGTCAGTTAGTAACCACATCTGACTTAAGAAATTTTTTTTAAAATCAGTTTTAAATGCACCCGACTTAACAAAGTTACAAATATTTACGAAATTGCCACCGCATAACTTCTTAAGTTAGGTGGCAGGTGAACTGACTTAAGAGCCTCTACTATAAAGTATTTTTTCTACTAGTGAGTTAATTTTTTATTTATAGTTAACGATGATTATAAAAATGACTATGACATGACATTTAATTCACTAACTTTTGGTTTTCGGAAATTATATACCTAACATATGCTATTTATTTTGAAACATATAATATTATTGTTTATATTATTAAAGTCTTGTAATTTTTTGAATAAAAAAATAATTACAATTAAAAAATATAAAATATAGGGTCAAGTTTTAGTTTTTTATAAGCAATTATCTGTTACGGTGAGAATCGTGATACCAAGCTATTGAATTAACTTGAATCTTTAATTCTTAAATTCACAACCGGACTTTAATTTATCCAAAAAGGAAAGGTTTAAAGAAAGAAAAACCTATAAAAATGCAAAGCAAAAAGCAAGGCCTAAAGTTGAGCAAAGAGATCTAAAGGTTCGGGGGTTGGTTATGCCTAGGTAGGTATTTCACATCCTAAACATCTGTAGTACTCTACATGAACCTCTTGTTAATATTTGTGTTTGCTAAAGTTTGCTTACTAAAGGAAATGTGCTAGGGGTAAAGATATAAAGTATAAAGTGTGTACAAAGTTTGGTAAATTATGCTCGCGAAGACATCGCATCTCGTGCCTACGTATCCTGACGGGAATGGAATTAGAGCAACCGTAGTTCCCCTGGTTAGGGGTAAGGAACTCTTGACTGTGGTCAAGGTTCCAGAGGGATGCAAGCATTCATAGAGAAGTACTTATATGCAGTGCGGCGACTCCTGAATCTAAGTTGAGATTGTTATGGTAGAGGGTATCCACGGCGGGACGCTAAACATGAGTACGGCGACTCAAATCCTTAGGTTAGGATAAAAGGGATAAAGGATGTCCACGGCGGGACGCTAAAAGTGAGTACGGAGACTCGGATCCTAACGTTAGGATAAAAGGTAAAGGAAAAGGATATCATCAAACAATGTCACAATAATGTAGACAAAAGGTTCAAAACCTCATGGGGATAATCAACAGTTTTAAAGGTGAGCCACTTAAATGCGTACAAGCAAAGTTGAAATTCAAACTTAAATGCACAAGGGAGACAACAAGCCAAGTCCATGTCATCTTTAAATTAAACTCAGAGAGGAATAAAATCAAAGTTTGAAAATGAGAGATAGGAGGGTGAAAACCCTAAAATGATTACAATTCTCTCACAATGTAAAGTGTTTCTAAAAATGAGATTTTAGAATCCTTTAAACATTTTATAAAAGTATGTAATAGAATAAGAATTTAGCAAAAAGAATCAACTAAAAAGGATTAAAAATGGTGAAGTTATGGTAAATTGAAAATTAAATGAAATAAAATAAAATAAAACAAGTGCTAAAAATAAGGAAGTGCTCACACCAAGGATTGAACCCACGTCTGGTGGTTTCTAGGTCAAAACTCTTACCACATCAACCAAAGTGCGCGCATGATATTTAATGGAAAAGATAGGTTAAATATTAAAAGTGCTAAAAAACAATAAAATGTTAAAAATGTGTCCTCACTGAGGATCGGACCAAGGACAATGCGCATGATAGGATACTTAAGGGCAAGGTGACAATCACTGGGGTGGCGATACATCCATTGATTATGCCACCCCAGTTTTAAGATAAACCTACAAGGCGTGCTATCTGGGCCAGGCTGCAAGGCAAATCAAGTTGAAAACTCAAAATACGGTTTGATTCAAACTTCCTCAAAACTTAGTCAATTTTAACAAAATTAAAGTCTAAATTACTTGTTTTTTTCATAAGGGATATGATGGTATCAACCATTTTTCCAAATAACACACACACAATAAAATTCGAATGAACATGCATAAAGAGGTTTGAAATGCATTTTGGTATTCCAAGACATAAAACAGATGCAATCAAAGTCATGTAAGGGTCTGAGCAAGTTGTAAACATGATGTAGACTGAATTCCAGCAAAAAGTTTGATCAAAAGACATTAGAATGAGAAATTGGCACATGAGTTGCAATAAAGAGCATGGGTTGGCTATGAACAACACAAGATGATCAAGACAAATTCTTCAAGATCAAACAAAGGGCTGTGCAGGTTGTGAATACAAACCTCAGGGATAATTTTAGGAGGAGAAATGAGTTTTTGTTATGGATCACAATGTGATCATCCAACTGCCAACATAATGTAATGGTTTCTTCTTTGAAATAGAATATGCACTATCATTGCAATGCTCAAAGCAACTTTTTAACCAAAAATCCACAAGCTGAATAAACTCAAAAAAGTGCAACAATTTAAGATTAAGCTTGATGGCATCATGATTAACCACTCTCAAGGGAGAAACTAGCAGCCAGTACTTGGTATTTCAAACAATTCTCATTGATGAATTCCAACAGCATAGCCTCAAAAGTAAGATAAAAGCAAACCTAACAAAAGTATTTTGAAAATAGAAGCAAACAATCACAGTATTACAATGCAACCAAATATCCTTCATAGTCAGTCTCCAATGCAAACATACATAGGCTAGACAGATCTACTCACAATTCTACCATAACAGTTGCAAAACTTCACAAATGATAGTGACAGTTGATCATTACCATGCCAAGCACAAACACCATATCCTTATGTTGTTTTAAAATGAAAGTTAGCTACTCATCAAAACCAATACAAATAAGTTTGAGCCTGAAAACCAAATTCTAACAGCAAGTATAAGTTGACCAACTCAATCTACAAACAAATCTTGACAACATAGTTGTGAGTCCCAACATGATAATGTCTAGATCATTCAACAACTAGTCCAACATTCATTCATATGACAACATGCCCTTATGCAAAAAAAAAACTCTAATGACAGTCCCATAAACAAATCATATATGTTGGACAGATCCAACACCAAACATAGTTTCAAACACATCATGAATCAAAATATATATGGATCCTAATCCAAACTGTTGGCACAAAACTTAAGAAACATGAGGCTGCAAGGTCAGGTTTCTTGCAACAGAATCAAAAACATTTACAAATCTCAATCAAAACAAATACAATGCAAGGTGGTTTGTGGAATAAGACATTAAAGCCCAGAGCTTGTGATAACTGCCAAACAATATCTCATAACAGGATTCCATTTATCATATCAAACTACAACAAGACATGGCATGTACAAAACATAAACACGTTCAATTCAGTTTCAAATCCACACAAATAACTGGCCTGAACAAACCTTAAACCAACTGCTCAT